AAAAACGATTCAAAGAGAGCAAAAGGTTATCAATGAATGATCGAACGCTTAGATCAAAGGTCAATAAAAACGATTCAAAGAGAGCAAAAGGTTATCAATGAATGATCGAACGCTTAGATCAAAGGTCAATAAAAACGATTCAAAGAGAGCAAAAGGTTATCAATGAATGATCGAACGCTTAGATCAAAGGTCAATAAAAACGATTCAAAGAGAGCAAAAGGTTATCAATGAATGATCGAACGCTTAGATCAAAGGTCAATAAAAACCTCCTTAAAGTATTGAAAACAATAGATTGAACCCAGTGCAAAAGTAGAAGAATTATTCCTGTTTCCTTAAAGTTTTTTTAAAAAAATTTTTAATAAAGTGTCTACAACTCACTAATGCAATCAGTGCTAGCAGACAAAAGTTTTAATAAAGTGTCTACAACTCACTAATGCAATCAGTGCTAGCAGACAACAGTTTCAATAAAGTGTCTACAACTCACTAATGCAATCAGTGCTAGCAGACAACAGTTTCAATAAAGTGTCTACAACTCAATAATGCAATCAGTGCTAGCAGACAACAATTTCAATAAAGTGTCTACAAGTCACTAATGCAATCAGTGCTAGCAGACAAAAGTTTCAATAAAGTGTCTACAACTCACTAATGCAATCAGTGCTAGCAGACAAAAGTTTCAATAAAGTGTCTACAACTCACTAATGCAATCAGTGCTAGCAGACAAAAGTTTCAATAAAGTGTCTAGAACTCACTAATGCAATCAGTGCTAGCAGACAAAAGTTTCAATAAAGTGTCTACAACTCACTAATGCAATCAGTGCTAGCAGACAAAAGTTTCAATAAAGTGTCTACAACTCACTAATGCAATCAGTGCTAGCAGACAAAAGTTTCTATCTTTATTTCAGATACAGGTTGAAATCTTTTTTAAAGCTGGGAGAGACATTTGGAGTAGGCTCTTTTTTTGGATACGGTAATAAGGGCAGATTTTTTACAACCAAAATAATATCTCAATAATTAATCTTATAATCTGTTTTATAACGTCATCTTTTTAAATTTGATAGAAAAAGATAAACATGATGTTTTCTAAATGATTTTATTTTATTTTTCAGGAAATGAATAATTATTATTTTAAAAAATCAGCTCCCCTCCTCTTTCTGATGATTTAAAAAAAAAATAAAATAAAAATTAGTCTTTACAACTTACTGCTCAAAGCCCTTTAGTATTCTGGGATGATTGTCAACCTTATTTTCCAGTTAATGCATAGTGGCTGTGTTGCTTGGGGTTGAAATGGCTAGAAAGACTTTGCAATTGTATGCTAGTAATTAGTTTTTGGAGTGTTGCGTTTGTTTTAAATGTGGTAAATTATAGATTTGTATTTCGTTGACTTTGTACCGCGCTTCGAGCCTTTGGGGATGAAGAGTGTTTTTGAAATGAACTTTATTATTATTATTATTATTATTATTTATAAACACCTCAACAGCATTAAATTAAGGTTAAATAAATATGTAATAAAAACCATACAAATGAAATTTTCGTTACATATCTGTTGTTAGTAGGCCTACTCAAAAGTTAATCATCACTTTAAGCTAATTGTCAGAAGTTATGCACCAGTATAAAATTGTAAGAAGGAAACTGGTAAAAATGATGAGACTAAAGATATGAAATGTTGTTTGTAAATGTAGATTATAAAATATGAGACCCTGTCCTAGTTTTAAAAAAAAAATATATCGATGGAAGACTAAATGTTTTTTTCTTCAAGTTTATAATCTCAACATGAGATAATATTATATGCTAAATCAAATTGTATAATTTCTGTAAGACAAAATACATAGTTCTGTAATTTAGTTTAATAAAGAGTCGTACATTTATTGGTTCTCTATTAATATTAAACTCTAAAACTATAAAAGGTATTGGCCGTCAGTTTTGAACGAATCTTTATTGATCCAAATAGATGGGAATGATTGTAATGCATGATTATTATGTACACATTCATTTTCAGAACATTAAAAAATACAATTTTAAACCAAAATATCTAAAATATTTAAATAAATGAAGGGACTGCTTTCAAGCTTAGTAAATGAATAAAATAGCTTCCACATACCTCGTTTCGTTATTTTATTCATTAAAATATTTAACTAGCTCAGAAATCATCGGTCGTCTATGAATTAATTTAGTAAAAGAATAATGACTTCATTAATGATCATTTCGCTATGTTAAAAAGCTGGTGAAGACGCTGGTAAACTCGTGCGGATTGGTGAACTAAAGGATTGGTGAACTAAAATATTGGTGAACTAAAGGATTGTTGAACTAAAGGATTGTTGAACTAAAGGATTGGTGAACTAAAGGATTGGTGAACTAAAGGATTGTTGAACTAAAGGATTGGTGAACTAAAGGATTGTTGAACTAAAAGATTGGTGAACTAAAGGATTGTTGAACTAAAGGATTGGTGAACTAAAGGATTGTTGAACTAAAGGATTGGTGAAGTAAAGGATTGTTGAACTAAAGGATTGGTGAACTAAAGGATTGTTGAACTAAAGGATTGGTGAACTAAAGGATTGGTGAACTAAAGGATTGGTGAAATAAAGGATTGGTGAACTAAAGGGTTGGTATGTTTTTAATTCCTAGTTCCAAGAGAAAAAAAAATGATCGAGCTGAACTTACGTATTTGCGTTGAAGTGGATGGGATGAAAAATACAAATATATTTAGGTTTACAATAACATCTTGCCTCAATCGAAGTTTGCTTAGCTTCTGCAATAATATTAGCTTCCTTGATTCAACTATTTATTAGGGGGGTGGGGGGTATTTCAGACGATGAATAACTCACCAGCAGGTAATTATAAAGCTTAGTAAGGCTTCCAAACGTTGCATTGTGGAATAAGTTAATGGAATTAGGTTTACGCATTGTACAATTTTGTATAAAGAGAAACGGTTTGGGTTCCAATTTTATACAGGATTTGGTCGTTTTATTAGCATGTCAGGTCGTTGGTGACACCTAAGGACTTATCTGCCTCTGCTTGATATCTATTGTGATTATTTAGTGCATTGAAACATTTTTAAAACTTTTGATTTAAATTTTGAACTCAATGCTACGTATATAAAGAAATTCATTGTAGCATTGGTTTGGACAGCTAGCTGATCGATTGCGTATATTATCATAGTGGTGTTAATGTTAAGCCCATATGATGAATAAGCGTCAAGGAAGGCAGTCGGTATTAATATTGAAAAAGCCATAGAACAGCAAATAATTAGAGCTATTTTTATCGATCTCATCTCCTTGACTCGTTTGGCCCTTGAATTTGAAATTTTAGCACTATTCTTATTTGCCTTTATCAGATTAACAATTGTTGCAAATGTGCAGGTTAGTATGGTTATCATGGGCACAGCATTCATAAAGGATGGTAAAATGTATTCTAGAAAGATAGATAACCACCATAAGTTGTCAATGTATTCTTTCCTTTTGAAACTTGTTAATACCGTTCTATTAATTTTTTTATTAAAAACTAAATCCAGGTAATACATGCAAAATGAAGGACTATAAAAGATTGCAACAAATGTAAATACGAACACAACCATAAACCTCATTCTTACGGGAGACATGAGTCTTGAAACATGAAATGGAAAACAAACAGCAATCATTCTCTCGATAGAGATAAGTGCCACTAGCCAAACGCTGGTAGACGTACCATATGTACTGATATACAAAAAAAATGCAACGTAAACTGATAAAAGGTTATTAGCTATAAAGGAATCAATCCTTGCAGTAATGTACATTATTCTAGTATATGTTTCACTGCATGAATAGATCAGGTCAGACAATGATAGACCAATGAGGACAATGTTTGAAGAATCATCCATTCCATGACGAAACAATACCAACATATTTATAATGTTTGTGACTATTCCAACAATTCCAATAGTGAAATTAATGCAGCAAAATACAGCGAAATTAATTGCTAATGATGTTTCGGACAGTACGTCTGTACCAGTACTCTTTACTGTTGTTGGGTATTTAATCATTGTATTACGAGTGACAGCACCAAAACTTGTGTTAGCCATCTTGTGTTGCAATTAAGCAATTACTGGAAATAGACATACATTTTAGTATAATTAGTGGCAATTTTTTTTTATCTATGATCATAATAATATAAATATGATATATTATTGATACTTATTATATTAAAAAAATGATTCACTTTGCTTCAGTCTAAATGTAATGCAAATATCTCAAAAAATTTTTGAACATTGCTTTACAAGAATGTGAGCTCTTGATTGTGTAAAAACAACCATTATACGCCTACGCATCTTTCAAAATAAATAGGAAATTTCCCGTTTAAATTATGGCTGAGACCTAGAATGAAAAGAAAACATCCTTGTCAGAAAATAGTCACTGAAAAAAAAAATTTAGGTTAGTATATTTTTAAGCCAAATATATATATATATAGAAAATATATATATATATAAAGATATATATATATAAATATATATATATAACTAAATCTCTCCCTTTGGTTCTATATGTATATATATGAAATATATATTTTCATCTTTATAGCTATCTATCTATCTATCTATCTATCTATCTATCTATCTATCTATCTATCTATCTATCTATCTATCTATCTATCTATCTATCTATCTATCTATCTATCTATCTATCTATCTATCTATCTATCT